GAGCAACCACAAAAGTATTTGCATGAGTTACAAAATTTCTTCTAATAATTGTAACGTGCAGTTAACCTAGTTGCCATAGCTTTTGAACTTCAAACTAGTATAAAATTTCATTAAAAAAGGACCTTCACAATTTTGATAATCATAACAAGTTAGTGGCATGAGTTACCTGCATTTGATTTCTTGTATATAGCTTTGTAGGTCCATTAGTGGAAGACCACGAAAAGAATATACTGGATATGATATCTGTTAAGAATGTTGTAAAATAATTTTTAATTGGCTACAAAGAATCAAAGAGACAACAAATAGCAAGTGATGAGACATGACTTAGGACTAGTTTTAAGCCTAATGGTACAGTGAAAAGCACATCTTTGTAGAGTAAACCAACAGAAAGCATAGGCTTACCCTGCCTTCACCATGTTTCTGAGATACTGGACCTTCTTCAAACTTTGACAGAACATCTCAATAACTTGAAAAGCTCTGAAAGGACAAATGAAACAATATTAAAGAGAACTAAGCAATTCAGAGTCACCATTGAAAGGGAAAATGATGGGAATCACCAAGTGATGATTTAATATCAGTGAAAAATGTCTACCTCAATGAAAACTTATAAAGACAAGGAACAATGACCTGTCCAACTTTAGTCATTTGCTCACAAGGTTGTCAGTTTTACAGAGAATTGGGTGAAATCTTGCCACTCTCACTCTAGAAGCCACAATATTAAAGAGAACTAAGCAATTCAGAGTCACCGTTGAAAGGGAAAATACTGAAAATCACCCAGTGATGATATAATATGACACTGCAAAATGTCTATTTCAATGAATACTTATGAACAACATCTAAATATGCTAGAAACCATGCAATATTAACATTCCTTTTTCTGGTATGGAGTGATTATCATATCCAAGAACGTTCATGCAAAGTGAATACCTTAAATCTTTCACCCTTTGTAAAGTTGAGAAAAATTTGAGTTGTTGTTTTGCAGAAAAAACTGTCACTAGAAGGTACTGACATTTTCTTCATTTTGACAACTAAAGCTTGTTTCGCAAGTACTTGATGCCAATATTCTTTGCCTTTCTCACTTCAGTGAATGGATGCCTATTGCACTTCTTCTCCATGTACAACCTAGAAATGCACAAATGAATATACAATATAGTCAACGAAAGTATACCAAATGAATTCAGAAGTGAAACAAACTGAATCTCCAAATTTGCATGAAGCAAAGGACAATATTCACACGTTAACACGGGAATGTGTGTATGGTGATAGAAGAAAATATGAAGTTCTGAAAGACAATCGAATGGTAGTCCTCATAGATAATGGTGACATTTCTTCAAGCTGCAGTTTTGTGTAATGCATGTTACTTAAAATTTGAAATATTCTTGTAATAAGTTATAACATGTTATATGCATCAAAAGTTCAGCAATATATACCTCCATTTTTCTAAAAAAGAACACGGGGAATGTATGTAAATAAAATTTCGTTAGTGGTGCATAATAACCAATTGCTGAGAAAAGTTTCTTGATCCATTGTATAGGCTGAATTTAAAAGAAAACAAAAGGCTACCACGTTAGGTTACCATCTTAAAACATGGCTTCTTTTTCTTCAACTTTTTAATTTAGAACAAATAGAGAAATGTGTTAAACAGAACATGCCAGCAAGTCTTCAGAAATACTGCAAGAAGTTTGAGAATGATACCATGCTTGTTGACCACAGTGGCTAACACAAAACCCCTAAAATTTGGCAACATAAGGATAAAATACTTGGTAAGAAATCATATGATATGTAACAGATATGATCGGCAGTAAACCAAATACTCATCACGTGAAAGAATGTTCCATAATGCGCAACAGTAAATGAATCAAAGGCACATGATGCTGTGGAAAAATGGAAAATGATGTTAAAATGAAACAAGAAAAGATAAACCCATTATTAACACAAAAAATAACAGGTGCAAATAATAATATCAGAGTGAATTAGGGACCTATCAAACTCTTCATAGGAATGACAGCATACTAGTTCCTTGACTTGGGAATATTGCATTCCCTTATTTTCACCTTGTGCAGATTTGTGCTAGTTACTCTTCAGGACAGTGTGGAAGAAGGAAGGAGATTCCTGGTTAGATGCAGCAAACCAAAGTCAGCCGACTCTGATTTATGGATTATGCAATTGGAAGTTGGCCTACAATCTGCCCCCATTCATTATCCTCAAGTTTCATTGGAAGGGCAGGACCTCGATTAGCTTAGGACAGTCTTAAGTAAAGCTCTTCAAGATGAGAAAGTGCCCCCACATCTTCATTGTTTTCAGAAAAAACCCGTTCCTGCCATTTCGAGAGTTGTCAAAACCTTAAGGCTTCATTTTGAAACAAGTACTCTGAGAGGGTGAATTTGAATTTGATTTGTTCTCCATTTTTGTGAGGATGAGCTTAGTCACTGCAGTTTTTTGTAGAATAGTATAGTCATTACATCTAGGAGAGTATAAAAGAATGCATTTGGAATTCAATTTTATATTGAGGTATTTTAATTCACTACTTGAGTAATGTTATGAATCCATGTATTTGAGTATAATTATATAACTCATTTATTCATGAGTATTATGATGTATTTCTACTACATATGAAATCCCAATCCATCTTCTTAAGTGTAAAATTCCAAAACAATAAAAGCAATGTGAGCAATTCTGCGTTAGGGATGTATAATGATCAATTATTGACTGATAAATTACTTCATCCATTATGAAAGTTGAAATTCAAAAGGGAACAAAAAAAGGGAATGCCAACCTGGTTTCAATCATATCAGAAAATACAGCCTCTGTCTCTTAACTTTTTAGTTTATAACAATACAAAAATTCCGTTAAACAGAACAGGGAAGCTAGTCTTCAGAAAGATTGCAAGAACTTTGAGTTTGATGCCATGCATGTGGATCACCATAGCAATCACAAGATTGTCGCAAAAAAACCTCAAATTGGCAAGAACATAAGGATGAAAAGTCCGGTAAAAATTAATGAGATAAGTTACAGCAATGATCAGTATATATAGGCTACCAAACAGACATATGTGAAAGAAGGCTCCAGAACATGCAAGTAACCCATGGCAAATTAAGTTGGGCAAAAAATGAAAACTAAACTAGAAATGAAACATAAAAAGATGAGCTCATAATTAACGTTAACAATAAGGATGCATAAGAATACCAGAGTGAATTAGCGAGCTATCCACCTCTTCATAGGAATGACACTAGTAGTTCCTTGAGTTGGGAGCATTACAAATCTCTAATTTTTCACCTTGTGTAAACAACAAAGCATTCCTAAAAAGGCGGTGAATGAAATGCAACCGACTCCAATTTCAAGGATTGTTGCAATTGGAAGTTAACCCACAAAATGCCCGAATGCATCACTTTCAGGTTTCATCAAAAGGGCAACACCTTGATTAGCTTAGTATAATATGAAGTAAAGCTCTTCAAGATGAGAGAATGCCTCCAAATTCTTCACTGTTTACAGAACAAAACTGTTCCTGCCATTTCAAGATTCGTTAAAATCTTAAATTTCTTGAAATCTAGATGGATTAGTTGTTCAAGGAACTTACCAAAGGAAGTTAGGATCCATAGCCACTACCAGGGAGTCAGGAAAACCCTCAAAGACAAAGATCTTCCAAAAGGAGCAGTCGCCCTTTTTGCTTGAGAAGTTCTTAAACTGAATGAAACGTGGCAAGGTAGACACTGCCTCTGGTATGATCTAGAGAATATGGCAGTTGCTGATCAAATATGTACAAGAGAAGGAAGGAGTTGAAGTCCTTATTCTTTATTGGTTTGAAATCTGTGCACATCCTTGTTGCTGCCCTAGCTAGCAAAAATCCAAATATGAAATGAAAAATTGCAGTGCTTGATGAAAAGCAGTGAAACTTTCAATAATTTTTCATGGAGAGGATTCTTGGATAGAAAAATGAGCTCCTGAAGCTCCAGGCTAAGACAAATCATGCAAGAGGAACTTCATTTGGCTGACAATCATCAACTAGAATTTGCAACCAACAGCTCGAAGTAAGGTGCCAGCAGCCTGTAAAACAATTTACAGCAAATTAGCCATCAGTTGCAAAATTTAATTCTATCTAAAAGCCCCAATGTACAAGTTAGCCTGTATTAAGAAAGAAACTATGGCAAATAAATTAAACACAAGATGGATAATAAACAACACAGTTCATGACTAAACTACGACAAACATCAAAGACAAGGAAAACTTTGCGAATACCACTAATGAAACACAAAAGGAAAAAAAAAAAAA